CATGAAGTTCCATTCCTATCTGAGGGGCTGTTGGCCCTGATGCTCGGGAAAAAAAAAAGAGTTTTCTTAAAGGGTATATAGCCCCTGAAAATTGCCTATGGCCATATATATATATATGAATATATGGATAGTATAAATTAGACCTGAGGGTTAAAATATAAAAGAACAACGTTGGATGGGTAATGGGATAAGCATCTGGAAGGAATTAGAGAAAAGGAAATAACATGGGGAAATTCATTGTGTGGGATTCTCAAACTAATAAGGAACTAATAAGAAGAAGGAAATTAGTTTTCAGCTTATTTCTCAGGATAGCTTCAACTTTTCTCCCTGTCTACTCAGGAAAGTTTTCAGCAGAGACACTGGTTACTGGATGCCTGGAATACACCTGGCACAGATGAAACATTCCAGACTGTGTTTGTCTTTATTCCTTCTCAGCTTTATGAATTTAAGCATATAAATTTAACAGGTGGCAAATTCCATCTATAGAAACTAAGCAAAGTGGCACAAGTTAGGTAAGAAGTGGATGGAAATCTCACTCCCAATGTGAACTCCACAAATCTATGCTCTTCCTATGCAAACCTAAACCCAGAGAACATAAGACAAAACAATGTATATACACAAAGTTTCAACACAGACTAGAAATGTAAAGGGTTCTGCAGCAAAAAGTGCCACGTGTCAGAGGACCAGAATGATGTTCCCAAGCACACAGATAGAGTGGCTCAAAAAAGATTTCAGTGACATGGGCTTGGAGAGATCCAAAACATCTGACTTTCAAGGGCATTATGTATGTGTGTGTGTGCATGTGCGTGTACATGTGTATTTGTGTGTGTGTATGGACACACACATATGGACAAATAAAATCACTAAATGGAATGACATAATCTAAGTTACATGACAGTTTAAGTCCTTTAGGGAAATCCCAAAGTCAGAATAGACATGCTTCTATTTTTTCATAAGAATTTGAATATTGAAAAATGACTAGACAATGAAAGAAAGGAGGGCAGTACCTGAGGGCTTATTTTGGTAAATGTATTCAGCTTAATCATGAGGGAACAGAGAAATAAGCAAGAAAACACAGACACTGATCCTTGTAAGGCAGTTGGTGGGAACTGAAATGTAAGGAAAGAAATGCAGAGAGGAAGCAGTGATTTAATCAGCCTGACAAGCATGGCTGAATTCAATAGGAGTTCTGGAATTGATTTTACAGTGATGAACCTGAGTCATCAAAAAAAAAAATAAAAGGTCCAATTTTCTGTTCTGAATGCTGTGTTTAAGAAGGCAAGGAAGCATGTAATCCATCAGAGAAAGATTTCCATTTCGAATAGTGAAATTTTCTTTAAAAACATTTTTAGTGTTTAAAGGGGATAAGTGACAGTTATCTAGAAAATTCATTTAGGTGGAACAATATCTTCCCCTGAAGATTCTAGATTAGTCAAACAAGGCAGTGTATTGAGTTAGGTATCTCCCACTCATATTTTACTGACATTTCTGTCTATTGTTCTACAGCTATTCAAAATCTATAAATGCTAAGCTCTAGGACACTGAACTCTGCAATAGAATGTGATACTTGATACTACTATAGCCTTTAGTATAAATTAATATTTACAGAAATGACTGGCTTCATATGGGCTTAGTGGCCTAAATTGTTAATCTCAGTCCTTGGGAATAAGAGGTATGTAGACTTCTATGAGTACAAGGCTATCCTGTTCTACACATGGAGTTACAGGCCAGCCAGTATGACACAGGAAAAGATTTAGATAAATGTTACTATCCCTCTCTGTTTCCTGGTCCTCTAGGATATGAGCAGATAATTGTTTTATTCTCTTGTTGCCTCAGACCATATTGATTTTGCCAACTGTCATGATGGGCTTCAAACCATGACTGAAAGGAAATCCCACTTCTAAATGCTTTGTTAGATGTTACCTCACAACAGCAAGAAAGTTAACTAGTACATATGTAATAACCAATCATTCAATCAGAATAAAACCAGCTTCAGAAAAATCTAAAATGATTTATCCATTTGTTTATTTTTTTCTAAATTAAAATTTTAACATTCGGCATTGGCTTCATAGATAGAGTGCATTTTACCCATGCAACAAAGCCCTGACTTTCATTGGTTAGGATCAGAGAAAAAAGCAAACATGGTGGAGGACAACTGTACTCCAAGAACTCCGGAGGTAGAGACAATGTAGTCATAAATTCAAGGTCAATCTCAGCTACATAATATGTTCAAAGCAAACATACACTACATGAGGACCTCTATCTTAACAACTGAGTAATTTATTAAAAATGAAAATTTATTTTAAGAGTCATATACATTGATGTCTCTCTTTTTCACACAACATAAATTATGTTAACACAGACTAGTGTCTGCTTATCCTGCTTCATCTCGTTGACTGATGCTCTCTCCTTAGATATCCTTGGATTGACACATAACTCATCACTCTTGTGTGTATGTACTGGGATCCTTGATACCTTCTGATCCCACCTTCCATCTCTCCCAACACAGTTTCCAGCTACCACACTGTACGTCTATCTCAAATGCTCTGTCTTCAAGTGATATTTCTCTAAAAACCCTCGTTTTTCCCAATTCATTTTGGGATGTGTATTGCCAGGCTGTCTTTCTGCAGAAACAGAGACAAGTATAGACTTAGTAGACAGTGCCTCAATATCAAAGTCAAGACTCCTGGTCTCCTTTGAGTCATATCTCTCTTCAAAACAGAATAAGTGCAATGTAGTTTAATTCTTGTCAAATATATATTTCATTGAATGTTTTAGAGTTTCTTTTTTATCAATCATTTTATTTGTTTACATTTCAAATGATATCCCCCTCCTGGTTACTCCTTCATAAACCCCCCATCCCATTGCCCCTTTCCCTCTCCCTTTTGCCTCTATGAAGGTGCAACTCCACCCATTCCCACCTCACTGCTCTACCATCCCCCTGTGCTGGGGCATCAAGCCTCCACAGGCTCTTGTGGCTCCCCTCCCATTGGTGTCAGATAGAGACATCCTCTATTACATAAGTATCTGGAGCCATGGCTCTCTCAATATATACTCTTTGATTTGTAGTTTAGTCCCTGGGAGCTCTGGGTTGTTCAGTAATTTCATATTGTTCTTCATATACAGTTGCAATCCTCTTCATTTCCTTCAGTGCTTCCTCCGGATCTTCTTTTTGGATCCCAAGGCTCAGTTTGATGGCTGGCTGGCTGTGAGTATCTGCACTTATATTGGTCAGATACTGGCAGAACCTCTCAGAGAACCTCCATACCAGGTTCCTGCCAGCAAGTACTTCATTGCATCAGCAATAGTGTGGGGGGTTGGTGTCTACAGGTAGGATGGATCTCTAGGTTGGGTGGCCTCTGGATGGACTTTCCTTCAGTTTCTGTTCCATTTTTGTCCCTGTCTTTCCTTTGAAGAAGAATATTTCAGGATTAAAACTTTTGAGATGTAAGGGTGGCACGATCCCTCATCTGGGTGCCAGGACTATCTACCGCAGGTGGTCTCTATAGGTTGTATCTCCCCTTTGTCAGGAATTTCAGCTAAAGTCATCCCTGTTGGGACCTGGGAGTCTCTTACTTCCCTGGAGTCTAGGACTTTCTGTTGGCTACCCCAAGTTCCCCATCCCCCACTGCTACATGTTTCCATTCAATTTCAGAATCTTTTATATTTCTCCCCTGTCCCTTCCAATAGGTAATTCTACCTCACCTTTTCCCTCCCTCTCCATTCTCCCGCCAAGATTCCCTCCCTCTCTATACTTTCTGTGATTGTTTTGTTCCCAGTTCTATGTAGGATTAAAGCATCAATACTTTGGTTTTCCTTCTTCTTAAGCTTCATATGGTTTATGGGTTGTATCATGGGTATTTTGAGCTTTTGGCTAATATCCATTTACCAGTGAGTACATCCCATGTGTGTTTTTTGTGTCTGAGTTACATAACTCAGGATGATATTTTATAGTTCCATCCACTTGCCTGCGAATTTCATTAATTCATTGTTTTTAATAGCTGTGTAGTACACCATTGTGTAAATGTACCATATTTTCTGTATCCATTCTTCTGTTGAGGAAAATCTGGGTTGTTTCCAGCTTCTGTCTATTATAAAAATGGCTGCTATAAACATAGTGGAGAAGGTATTCTTATTATATGTTGGAGCATCTTTTGGGTATATGCCCAGGAGTGGTATAGCTGGATTTTTAGGTATAACTACTTCTAATTTTCTGAGGAACTGCTATATTGATTTCCAAAGTGGTTTTACGAGCTTGCTGTCCCACCAGCAATGGAGGAGTGTTCCTCTTTCTCTGCATCTTTGCCAGCATCATTGGTCGTCTGTGTTTTTGATCTCAGTCAATCTGATTGATGTTGGGTGTAATCTCAGGGTCATTTTGATTTGCATCATTTTGATTTGCATTTCCTTGATGACTAAGGTCTTCTTTAAGTGCTTCTCAGACATTTGAGATTTCTCTGCTGAGAGTTCTTTGTTTAGCTGAGTACCCCATTTTTAATAAGGTTATTTGGTTCTCTGGAGTCTAACTTCTTGAGTTCTTTGTATATTTTAGATATTAGCCCTCTTTCTGTTGTACAGTTGATAAAGATCTTTTCCCAATTGCTGTGACAAAATACCATCACTGAAAGAAACTTGAGAAGAAAACCTTATGATTTGCAACTGACTCTCCATTATTGAGAGAAGTCAGGGCAAGAATTAGGAATCAGGAACTGAAGCAAAGGACATAGAGAAATACTGCTTTTTAACATGTTACTTCATTTTTTTCTCAGGTATATTTTCATGTTTTTTCTTATATTCCTCAGGACTACCAGTAGCAGTCAAACATATAATTGACTGAGCCTCCCGCATCAGTCACTAAGAAAATTATCATTTAAAGACATATCTTTTGAATTGTGGTTCCCACTTCTCCAATGACTCTAGCTTCTGTCAGAAAAAAAAAAATACAGCCAGAATATTGGTTTGTAGGTTTCAACATAGCATGAAGAAAGACAGGACCTTACCTGGTGTGTTAAGCAGGCGGGATTTCCTACAGTGGTATATCACCTCCTGTTCACAGTGTTCTGAGCCATCAATCAGAGCTTCCAGTTGGTCCACACTCCCACCATAGTTTAAGGTCATGGAATAGGGCTTCTCAGGGCTTGAACCCTGTACCCGAGTCAGCTCTGTGTTGTTGTGCTGAACTGTCATCCAGATCTTGTCCTCTGTACAGACAACAATCCAAAGCAGGAGATATTAGACTTTCTAAGGAAGAGTATTTAAACAGTGGGCCATTCAAAGTACAACAGAGTCTCCTTCTGAGTATTCTGTATAGACAATGTGATCAACACATTTTATTCCTTATCAAGAGATTTTTTTCCCTATAGGGTTCTACCTCAGGCTAATAACAGGCAAATAATCTTAGGAGTTATACTTATGAGTCCTTATTCTACAAGTTTTATACCATGTATTTAATGCCATTATTAATTTAAAATTGATGAATAGAGTCTTCCTCCTTATCTATAGGGAGACTGTTTGAAGAGTTTCTAAAATATGTCAAAGTCTGCAGGTGTTCAAGTTTCTCACATAAAACAGGAAAGCATTTGAATATTATATATATCCACCTTAAACTTTAAATCAACCTCATATTACTTTTGATATGTAAAAATAGATGCTATGCAAACAGTTGTTATAGTGCATTGTTTAAAAAAAATGAAAATGCCTATGCAAGTTTAATACTTACACTGTATCAGAAGTTATTTCTTAAAAAGTATTAAGTGTCATGTTAAAAACAACAGGTACAGATGCTATGCGTCTATAAACCAACACATCATTATCATGGATAAAAGTATACAATGTAAGCATAAGGATCTGTGTGTGAAACCTGAAGTGGCAATGAAAAAAAAATGCTGGGCATGCTCACATATGCTTGCAAGTCCAGTGCTTGGGAGCAGAGAGAGGTGGACACCTGGATCTTGCTGACCAAACAGCCCATAGTAATAAGTGAGTAACAAGCCAGCAAGTATTTTTTTCCAAAGAACAAAATATGTTGGAAAGATGGCTCAGAAATTCAGAGGAGGTCCTGGTCTTATAGAAGACACCAGTTCAGTTTGAATAATCCACAATAGGTATTCACAACTATATATGTGTCTATCATTGGGGGATCCAATGCACACTTCTGGCTCCTAGAGACATTCACACTCACATGCACAGATTCTTCCCCAACACAAATATATACATTTATTTTAATCTTTAAAGGAAAACGAACAGGAATGACATCTGAGGAATGCCAACCTAGAGCTCTCCTCTGGCCTCCAAATACATGCAAACACACATGTACAAAAGCAAACACTTGTGGTAACTATACCTGGTTGTTAACATGACTCTATCTGGATGATATAACTAAAATCAAAGCAGCTGGGTAATATCTGTAAGAGATTTTTTAAAATTAAGTTATGTGAAGAGGGAATATCCATCCTTTATTCCAGGTCTTTTGAGGTGGGAAGATCAACCTTTAATCTGGGCCACACTTCCTGGTGGAAGCCTATAAAAGTCACATGAAAGAAGAAACCTCTTGCACTTTACCAGCCCATACATACTCTTGCTGGAAAGTTCATTCACTGATGCTAGAGTCTACTTCTTTGTGATTCTGGTATTTATTGAAAAACAGTTGAGAAAGCCAGCCTCCTAGATTACTGTATTATTGGACTTTCTGTTAGTGGATAGCTATTGTTGGGACTAGCTTGACCATAACCTGTAAACCACTCTAATAAATCGTGTACTTACATATTCTGTCAAGTCTTGTCCTCTAGAGAACCCCGGATAATAAAAAACATGCATATACACATACATACAAAAATTATCTAAAAACTTTTATATTGAAAACATTCAAAGACATGAGGCTCTTTAAATAAGAATAAAAGGAAAAATTAAGAAAGAATATAAGATATCAGTAAGAGATACGAATTTGGTTTTAAAGTTCGAGAGATCTGTACTTGAAAGCCATGTTTGCCAGTATGAAATATAGACTAGTGACTTTGGTGTTATAGTCAGTTAAAACATGTGACTGCCAAAACAGGTAGAAATACCCATTACACAAACCACCAGCAGGGCTGTTAATGAGGAACAAAGACCAAGACCATAACATTGCAAGGCAGGCTCGAGAGGTGGTTCAGCAGTTAAAACACTCTACCACTCATCCAGAGGTCTATGTCACATGGCACATAAGTACCTATAGTGACAGGTCCAGGGGGCATTCATTAACCTCTCTGGCCTCGAAGGCAACTGAGTACACAAGTGCACACACCAACACAGAGATACACAGGAATAAAAACTAGTAAATCTTAAAGTTGCAAGACACTCGGTGAAGTATGTTGGATACCTGTGATAACTTGGGGGAAACCATTTACTGTAACTTGATATGCAGTTTAATTTTGAACATCCTCACAAACAAAGCAGGGGAGGAAACAGGAAGACTTGAAAAGTGTTTGCCACCTGAGAAACTTACCCACACCATTACATTATTCTTCATAGAGTCCAAGAGCAGAAAGCGAACAGAGCAACAAAATCATGTGGTTTCTTCCCTCTTCCACCCTCTTAGGTTTACAAATGGGAAAACAAAGGCCCTTAAAGAAAAGCAATAAGCCACAGCACTTCTATTACAGTGCATTGATCGGAAAATATGCTAAAGGAAACTGTTATTATTAACTTTAAATAGCAAGATTAGGGTCATTGGCGTGATTTAGCCCCAAGTAAAAGGAAAGAACTGACTTCTTCGATGTTCTGTATTAATTCTTCCCATAAATTCTTTCTGTGATCTAGAAAAAGTTATTTCATCTCCCTACACTTCTGTCTCCATATCTTAGAAGAAGGAAGAAGTGATTTGGTTTGGTTTTAATTATTTCCTTAAGATTTTTTCAATTTGGTAATAGTTCTTATCTCACCTAATTAAATTATGCTCAGTGACTGTGAATCATTCTGGGAATAATTTCCCAAATCAATTAATTAATAACCACCATGTTCCCAGAGAAAACTGTGCTTTGCTATTTTGAAATAGTGCTACATTCTTCAGTAAAATCTATTGAAGAAACAAATTCCACTAAATTTTAACTACTCAAATAAAATGATGGAAACTCATACTGTTAAAGTTGTTGAAAGAATATTCACCTGAGACTCCAAAAATGGTGTTAATGTCTAATTTAGTTATGATTTATATTGCTTTGATAAATGATCATCAACAAAAACGAAGCTGGGATGAAAGGTTTTATTTGACTTACACTTCTATTCCACTGTTCATAATCAAAGGAACTCAGGACAGGAACTCAAGCACGGTTGGAACATGGAGGCAGGAGTTAATAAAGATGCCATCCATGGAGTGCTGCTATATAGTGGCTTGATCCTCATGGCTTCCACAGTCTGTTTTCTTATGGAAACCACCACCAGACTAGGAATGCAGCACCCATAATGGCTTCCTGCATCAATTACTAATTAAGAAAACGTCCTACAGACTTGCCTTAAATGCAATAATATGGAGGCATTTTTTCAATTATATTGAGGATCACTCCTCTCTGAGGACTCTAGATTGTGTCAAGTTTACATAAAACTAGCCTGTTATAATGTGAAAATATACAAATGTAATAAAATTAACAAAAAGTTGTCATTCAACAAATGAGATGCTGTAAAATGAGGAATAAAAATAGACAGCTTTGAAGTGGTTGTGATGTTCATGGGAAGATTTGTATTTCTAAGGTATATTAATTGAATAATGCTACTGCTCTCAACCTAGAACATCTTTCAGACATTATGTATTAATTTTACAGATGTCACAGGCCCAATCACAAACCAAAGAGTAAAGACCAAGGGAAGAGAGAATTCCTTGAAAACTATAACACACCAGCTAGATTATTTTCAAAGCTCTCCTGACATATTTTTTCTCACTACCATGTATCTGTCTATCATGTTACAGCATGCTCTATATTCTACTATCTACTAATGTTCTATTATCTATCTATCTATCTATCTATCTATCTATCTATCTATCTATCTATC